GTGTTGTGTGTGTGTGTGTGTGTGTGTGTGTGTGTGTGTGTGTGTGTGTGTGTGTGTGTGTGTGTGTTGTGTGTGTATGTGTGTGTATGTGTGTGTATGTGTGAGTGAGTGTGAGTGTGCATGTGTGTGCATGTGCACTCACCTATTTGTGGTTGCAGAAGTCAATTCATAGCTCCTGGTCCTGCCTCTTTACTGATCACTACTAGGTCCTCTCTCCCTGCCAAACGAGCTTTATCAAGCCTAGCCTTAAAACTATGCATGGTTCCTGCCTCCACTACATCACTAGCCAGACTATTCCACTTCCTGACAACTCTATGACTAAAGAAATACTTCCTAACATCCCTTTTAACTCATCTAGTCTTTATTTCCACTTGTGACCCCTTGTTTCTGTGTCACATCTCTGGAACATCCTGTCTCTGTACACCTTGTCAATTCATTGCAGTATCTTGAATGTTGTTATCATGTCTCCCCTAACCCTCCTGTCCTCTAGTGTCATCAGGCCAATTTCTCTTAACCTTTCTTAGTAGGTCATTTCCCTTAGCTCTGGAACTGGTCTTGTTGCAAACCTTTGCACTTCCTTTAATTTCTTGACATGCTTGACCAGGTGTGGGTTCCAAACTGGTGCTGCATACTCCAGTATGGGCCTGAAGTACACAGTGTAAAGTCTTGAACAATTCCTTACTTAGGTATCAGAACACTATTCTCTGGTTAGCCAGATGCCAATATGCTGCAGCAGTTATCTGGTTGATGTGTGCCTCAGGAGATGTGCTTGGTATTATACTTACCCCAAGATCCTTTTTCTGAAGTGAAGTTTGCAATCTTTGGCCACCTAGCCTATACTCTGTCTGTGGTCTTCTTTTGCCTTCCCCTATCTTCATTATTTTGCATTTGGCAGGGTTAAATTCAAGGAGCCAGTTGCTGGACCAGGCTTCCAGCCTGTCCAAGTCTCTTCGTAGTCCAGCCCGATCCTCATCTGATTTAATTCTCCTCATTAACTTCACAACATCTACAAGCAGGGACACTTATGAGTCTATCCCTTCCATCATGTCATTCATATATACCAAAAATAGCACTGGTCCTAGGACTGACCCTGTGGAACCCCACTCATCACAGGCACCCACTCTGATACCTCGTCACATACCATGACTCGTTGTTGCCTCCCTGTCAGGTATTCTCTGATCCACTGCAGTGCCCTTCCTGTTAAGTGTGCCTGATCTTTTAGCTTTTGCACTAATCTCTTGTGAGGAACTGTGTCAAAGGCCTTCTTGCAGTCCAAGAAAATGCAATCTACCCACCCCTCTCTCTCGTGTCTTACTTCCGTTATCTTGTCGTCAAACTCCAGTAGGTTTGTGACACAGGATTTTCCTTCCTTGAATCCATGCTGGTTGTCATTTATAAGCGTGTTCTGTTCTAGGTGCTCCACCAGTCTCCTCCTGATAATCTTCTCCATGACTTTGCATACTATACACATCAGTGACACTAGTCTGTAGTTTAGTGCTTTGTGTCTATCTCCTTTCTTAAAAATGGAAACTACATTTGCCGTCTTCCATACCTCAGGTAGTTGCCCAGTTTCAATGGATGTGTTGAAAATTGTTGTTAGTGGCACACACAGTATCTCTGCTTCCTCTCTAAGGACCCAAAGAGAGATATTGTCCAGTCCCAAAGCCTTTGAGGTGTCAAGTGCACTTAGTAGCTTCTTCACCGCCTCCTCGGTTGTGTGCATTTCATCCAGAACTTGTTTGCATATCCCTTGTTGGTGTACTCCCCTATTCTGGCTTCCCAGAGTCCTTTCTGTCTCCACTGTAAATACAGTGGACCCCCGGTTCGTGATATTAATCCGTTCCTGAGAGCTCATCGTAAACCAAAATTATTGGAAAGCAAATCAATTTTCCCCATAAGAAATAATGGAAATCAAATTAATCCGTGCAAGACACCCAAAAGTATGAAAAAAAAAAACTTTTACCACATGAAATATTAAGTTTAATGCAATAGAATAATTACAATAACAACAATAACAATAGAATAACTGACACTAACCTTTAATGAAGATCTGGTGATGATTGATGGGATGGGAGGAGGGGAGTGTGTTGAACCTATTGTTTAGAAGGGGAATCCCCCTCCATTAGGACTTAAGGTAGCTTTTCCTCCTGAGTAATGTAGGTCCTGCTTGGCAATTTCTTCCAAAACAGGCCTGTTTTGTCACAATTAAACACTTGTTCAGGTTTCAATCCTTCAGCCTCTATGTACTCCTTGAATTCATGCACATATTTTTCAGCCGCTTTGTGGTCTGAACTAGCAGCCTCACCATGCCTAATCACACTATGTATGCCACTACGATTCTTAAATCTTTCAAACCAACCTTTGCTGGCCTTAAATTCATTCACATCACCACTAGTTGCAGGCAATTTCTTTACCAAATCGTCATGCAACTGCCTAGCCTTTTCACAAATGATCGCTTGAGAGATGCTATCTCCTGCTATCTGTTTTTCATTTATCCACACCAATAACAGTATCTCATCATTTTCTAACACTTGCGGTCACTGTTTCATAATCACAGTTGCACCTTTTGCAAGAACAGCTTCCTTGATTGCCGTTTTCCTGCTCACTATAGTAGAGATGGTTGATTGGGGCTTACTATACAACCTGACCAGCTCCAATACACGCACTCCACTTTCATACTTTGCAATTATCTCTTTCTTCATTTCAATAGTCATTAGCACCCTTGGTCTTGAAGGGTTGGCACGAGAAGCTTTCTTGGGGCCCATGGTGACTTACTTTGCAGAAACAAGCACCAAAAACAGTGGTAATATGGATAATATGGAATGTACCGAATGTATCCTTAGATGCGCGCACACTGGCTGGCTTGTAAACACTGGCCCACGTCTCGTACGAATCGTATCGCATACTGGGTTTTGTAACGGGAACCGAGGCAAAATTTTGGCAATATAATGCATGGGTTACCGGTTTTTATCGGATACCGATAAGCATCGCGAACCGGGGGTCCACTGTATTTCCCTTTAAACCCCTTTTAGGGTTTGTCCCACAGAGCTATGGCTTTGACGCCAGGGTCAAGCCGTAGATCTACGCTAAAATTCTCACCGCTTCAATTTAGCACGAGAAGGCTGGTAAACCTTACATCTAAGAAAATGGGTCTGTGTTGTCAGAGTGGTAGAAAAAAAAAAAATCAGGGTGCCCGCATGGCATTGTGGAAATGCCATCTCAGTACGCCTTGTTCACTATGCCTCATGGAAGGAAGCTCTCACTCCTCAGTAAACTGGGACTCCTTTTTCCCAAGTGATAGTTCTAACACTGATGGAAGTGGATCTGAAGGGGAAATTTCTTGGTTTGAACCATATAGAGATGCTAGCATTAGTTTAGGGTGGTAGAAGATAGGTAGGGCAATGGTGTTGTCAGTAGCCCTATATGCCTCTAACACATTGGAGGAGTTAAGTTTCGGTCATCTTTTTCTATCACTTAAAATTATTGCTACACTGTTAAAAAGCTACACTTTTTCACTGGCTGGTGCTATAGCCTTTATCGATTCCTGCTCCTTTAGTATCATACACTCGTTGAATCACTGAAAGGTGCATTCTCCCCTCTCTCTTCCTCCTTCACACTCATACTTTTCAACAACTCTCTCTTAAATTCCAACATGCTTCTCACTTTCTTTACCAAAGGAATTTTACTAAGAACTTTATTTGGGGGCCCTGGTTGCTTATTTTGCAGTTTCACTTAATCAATAACCACAATAAAACAATGGATTATAGCGAAATGTTTGGGTGAATGAGCAGAAGTTTCCCCACTTGCCCAGAGACATAACCAACTGATACGAGTGGCTGGCGGCAGCGGGGTTTACGCGTCCATACAACTGATAAGTGAAATAACGGCCAATAACCAGAAACTGAAAAACTCGCCAACAAGCGAGTTGGCTGATAAGCGGAAAAGCTGATAACCCCAAAGGGGCCACTGTTTTGAAAATTTTTTGTAAAATTGGCCAAATTACCAATTTCAACTAATTGGCCAAATTACCAATTACAGTGGACCCCCGGTTAACGATATTTTTCACTCCAGAAGTATGTTCAGGTGCCAGTACTGACCGAATTTATTCCCATAAGAAATATTGTGAAGTAGATTAGTCCATTTCAGACCCCAAACATACACGTACAAACGCACTTACATAAATACACTTTTCATAATTGGTCGCATTCGGAGGTAATCGTTATGCGGGGGTCCACTGTATTTTTAAATAGTTTTATCGGGCAATTTCTTGTGCACAATGGATAAAATGGAACACATACTAGTGGAAATAGCTAAAATTTGGTCTAATGAAATAAAAGTAATTGACCAACAATAGGACTCAAATTGGGGAAAATTGTTGATGCATAAATATTGCTGATTTAGCAAAATTTGAGAGAGAGCATAATTTCATAAATTTTTTATCGAATTTCATACTTTTCATTTTATTACCTTCAGAAAAAGATTCTCTACAATTTCATAAGAAAAATAATAATAATTTTTTTTTTTTAAATTCTTGGACCCTGTGGGGAATTTTCTGATTAGGGGTCTGGACCCTCACGGGTTAAATATAACACATCACTGCATTTACATACAATTACGTACATTGTAATCCTTTTTTTACAATTTAGAGACCTAAAATTTTTTTGCTGGCTGTTTTGGAGGGTATAAAGAATGTAGTCATATTTTCCCCATATGTTTCTCAGTTCTGTTTACACAAGTTTTGATAACACACTGTTTTCAGGAATGTAACTACCTTGTTAATTAAAAGCACCAAACACTACAAAATTATTTATCCCCAACAGCTTTTAACATTTCTGTCTTGATTTCATCAATCCCAGCTGTTTTTACCCCCTTTCATTGTACCCACTTCCTCACACACCTCCACCACTTAATAATTAATGACTGAATTAGACTGCTAAGAATTATGAGTTAATGAATAAATTATTATATAAATAACAATCCAACACATTTTACACGATTACCTGTTTTTGAATTGCATCAAAGGCCCGCCAAAGATTGCCATTTTTACTGGCTATATTTCCTGCTTTCTGCATCTGGTCATCCCGTGTTTTTTTCAAATATTGCTTTTCTGCAAAAAAATTGTGTCCACACTGACATATGTACTTGCGAACATGAATTATCCACACTTTTGGGACCCCTTTTTTGCACCTGCTTGAAGACCTGAAAAACACATTACCTTTTTGAAACATATTGAATATCAAAGAAATTTACTGATACTATACATATTGAAAAATCTCCAAAATATTTAAAAGTTTACTGTTTTAATGACAAGAAAAGAAATAATTTTTTTTATGTGGTATCTGAATTCCCAAAAAAAAAAGTTCTGTCTGAAAGGGGTAAAAATGGGAAATACACAAAAAATATTATTAAATAAGTAAAATCCTAAGATTTGTAGTAAATACAGCACGGGAGGACCCACTATACGAGGTTATGTTTGGGTACTGCTAAAAAGAAAAAGCTGCTGTAAGGGGAATTTTTTGTTTTTTTAAACTGCATATAAAACCTGATAAAGTTTACATTTAATATTAAGTGGCAATAGAACTGGCCTTAAAATCCCCTTTTGGGGCACGTTATTATTTAAATTTTTTTCATTTTAATTTTATAGTGAGTGGTGAAATACGGGGTCCTCCATCACAAATCCGGATATTGGGACCGTAGTGTCCGGATTACTGAGTTTCCCAAATTCAGATGGTTAGGTTAGAATCATTTAAATAAAATTAACCAACCTGACTTAACAGTTCATTGAACTGGCAAAAATTGAACTTTCCCGTACTTTGAGTCAATTTCAATACTTTTGTTTGAAAGCAATCAAATCAAGTCTATTTCTGTAATAATCTTCCATTCTATCAATGAGCCCAAAAAAAGAGAATCAAAAACCCTAAAAAAACCCCTAGAAAATATATGCAAAGAGGGGCTAATGATGAAAGTGAACTCTTTATTTTTCGTCCCCTCTTTTTTTTTTTTGTTGTATGTTTAAAAAGCATGGCGTCAGAGCAAGTTGCAAACCCCTGTCGACTTTCCAACGGGCTGATATTGCTGAGTGGATGGCCAGGGGTCTCCGCCCCAAATATTTTCACTCCGGAGCCCCCAACAGACGCTATTACATTGCATTGTACAGACCCCCTCAACGTCGATTTAAAATGTCATCGTGGGGCCCTTGCCCGGAAATGCCCCCTTTAATCAACGGTGTGCAGTGGTGCCAAAGCCTCCTTTTGAACGGTGTTTGAATATCAAAACGCAACAGATGTTGCTAAAAAAATTATCAATTGTAAAAACCCGGAGTCACAGCAGCTCATGCGACTGCAGTGTGAGGGCTGATTTCATTGAGCCCAACCCCACTTTACCCTGTCCCCCCCATAAGACCCCCGAAATTCCAGGTACTCGGGTCTGAATCTGGCTCATGCCGCCCTCAGACAATGGGGTTTAGCACCCCACCTGGGGGGGCCGTCAACAGACCCCCCTCACGTCGGTGTCAATACCAGTAGCTGATCAGCTGACAGTCAGCCAACGAGTAGCTGACCCGGGGGTTTGTCTCCCGATGTTCCAAAATTTCTCCTGTGGTATACAACCTGGTCGCGCATAAAAGTATGTACTGGAAACACAACAATTTCTCCTGAAACAACAACTTGAACAAACAAGGAAAAAATTGTAATGTACCAAAAAAAAGATTGTCACAATTTGTGAAAGCAAGTATAAGGTTGTGAAAAGGGGTGGTGGTTTCTTAAAATTTCAGTAATGAGAAAATTTAAAACTTGTGTTGATAACTGTATGAGCATCATAAAGAAGGTATGGTATCAATGATGTTAGTAATAGTGTGACCCTAATATAAGTGGTGGTGAAAAGTTTTGGGGGGCAATGGTGTTTAATGTAAATAATAGTGATGAGCATAATATAAGTGGTGGTGAAGAGTGTGATGAGAGCCGGTGGTGTCTATAATGTTAGTAACAGTGATTACAGAATATAAGCGGTGGTTGAAGAGTGTGATGAGAGCGTGGTTGTCGTATAATGTTAGTAATAGTTGAGGAGCGTAATATAAGTGGTGGTGCAGAGTGTGATGAGGTTAACCACATAGACATTAATGTGAATACAATACTGTTGATAAATGTAATGAACACAATGTTGGTATGGCGCTGGTGGGATTTTGACAGTTGTAGTGTTGCGTGTAATGTTAGTGGAGGAGGAATGTGAGTGGTGTGTCAACCTATCATACATCACCGCGAGTTCACACCATAAACACAGCGTCGTGCTCGGGTAACGAAGACTCCCACGAGGGCCCTACAACTGGAAGTGCACTTACAAAACCATGGACAAGGGTAGCACTGTTGAAATTGATAAGGTCTGCTATTTATATGAACAATTTTTTTATGCATTATGCTGAAAGACTACAAGATGATCCCAGGAACTACTAAAGATGGGATCATAACACGTATAAACTTCTATATTAAGCTGAATATTGCATCACTTAGAAAATGACTTCCTGACCTTCATCATAAGTAACCACCGAACCCAGTGATGTTGTGTGTCTACAAGAGTGCAGAGTCGCCTGAAAAAATCCCAACCCCCAAATTACCATCATTTTTGTTTGCATATAACCTCAAATCTACTTACTCTTTGTCTGTATATTAAAAAATCGCTTCCCCATCAAACTCCTTGCACACAAGAAAAACAGAGGGCTACAATATCACAGGTGTTAGGATTTAATATAGGGAACTCTGCTCTCAACATATTTAACTTGTAAGCTCCTGCTGATAAATTTAAAATTACTTGGTGGAGCTCCCAACTTGTGCTCATTCTGAGCCTACCCTTATTATGCGATTACAATGCGAGACACAAAAGCATTGGAAACTCACAGTTTGGTAACGTATGGTAATCAACTGTTGTCAGTCTTAAACCAGTCATATAATGTCCACGAAATGTAGGTGACTTTTGAACCCACACATAGTCTAAGTAGGCATCCTTGATCTGTGCGCTGGGCTTCAACATTACATCTGCCAGCTGTGGCTTCTTTCCATTGTAACAGATCTAGCGTCTGATCAATTCCCTAGGCTATACCTCCACGTAGATATTGGGAATACTATCCTTCCTGTGGGATATTCACGACGGAAACGTTTAATGTACCACCGATAGCATGATGACTTTGTTGCACATGTGACGAGCTGGTATAATTCCTATGAGTGAACCTCCTGTAAGAGACCATTATCAATGATCTTTGTGAAGCAGTATTCAGAACTACTTAGAGCCGCCACTGAAACCTCTCGTACTCTAAACCTCAACAAACTTCCATATTAATCATACCCTCCTTTAAAAAAACCATACTTATTACAATGATTGCGAAACTTCGTACACTGAAACGTACTGCTCGCAGACTAGGCCTAGCCTATTAGAAAACAATCGTACCCCTGGAATGCTGAGCTCTTCCAAACTGCCCTTCTGCTTGCAGAGAGCGAATGACAGAGCTGCGGCAAACAGACTGGGAAAAATTTGTCATCTCCCTTAATGCTCAACATCCCCACTAAGCCGGCATGGAGTGACATAAATATTGAATTAAGGGTAACAAACTGGGCAGATCATCACCCTCATCCCTTACATAGGGCTATGAGTTAGTCAGTGCTTGGGCTGCTACATCTACTATACAATCTTATCCCAGTACCACACAGGCAAAATTAAATGACAATATGGATGCAAGGAGAGACTTGTTTGCTTTATGCTCAGCAAGGCAGATGATGCAACATCCTTTCACTAATTATGAACTTGATGCAGCACTAACTAAGGGCAACTCCACATCGCCTGGTGAAGGATGGTATTACTTACAAACAATACTCAGATTTCTGTGTCGAGTACCAGTAATCCATTACTTGAATTATATAACATAGCTATGCAACTGGGGCGCTCCCTCAATCTTGAACCAACAGCCTCATCACTCCTATTCCTAAGCCCAATCAAAAAATTCATCGCCCAAATCTCTTTACTAGCTCTTGTGTAAAACATTTGAGAGGATGATTCTTAATCGTCTCATGACAGAATCAAACATATTTTTTGTCTCCCCGGTTACATGGTTCATGCATGGAAGGAGTGTGCATCATTGCATAGCCACCTTTCTCACCCTGGCACACTGACAGCTCATACACTACCTTCCTTGACCTTAAATCCGCTTTCGATGTAGCCAACCGACATGTAATCATTAGTGAACTTGCCAAATGGATGCGGAGGATGGCTCTCCGCTGGATTAAAGGCTACCTGTCCAACAGAAAAATCGTCTGTGTTGGTTCCAGGACATAGAAGTGTAACTAAAGACTTTGAATTAGGAACCCCAAAGGGAGGATGTGCTCAGTCCCACACTTTCAATAATTCTAATTAATGCATTACTTAATGCTATGGCCTAGTCAGCCTCATCATTATGTGATTATTTTGCGATGATACAATGATTCACACACCACCGAATTCACCCAACACCCAAACTTTCTTAATCATGTACTAGCCTCGTGTGTCAGGACCTGGGTTGATAATCTCTACTGATAAAACAAAGATAACTCAATAGGCGTCCTCCTCAACAGAAGAAGCACATTCGTCATGATCCAATTGCTGAAGGTCTCTTTCTAGAATATGTAAGCCAGATACAGGTAATCTAGGCTTTGAGGTTCCACACTTGGGGAACTGTTGTAACAAGACTTTGTCGCCAATACAAAGAACGACTAAAGCACTTAGAGTTTGGCAGGGCTTCACTCCAGAGTATGGTGCAATGTTAAAATTGTGAAAATGATGTATCTAGCTGATATTAGATCATTGGTTGATTATGCTGCGCCACTACTTGCTCTTGTGTCCTGACTGGAAGCTTGGAGGGCTGGAAAAACTGCAGAACGAAGCAATGAGGGATCATTTTAGGATGCCCTGGCGTACTGCCAAAATTTTAAATATGCAAAATGAACCTTGATATTTCCAAGCATCAGAGATCGTGTTACTGAAAGATATATCCTAATTGGGGTTAATATGCTCAGCAAGCTCATTCAAACCCCTCACAGAAGCCCTCCAAACTTTCCTCACACTGGTGAACACTCCTCCAGATGGATCGAAAAAATGAGGAACCGACCTCCGCATGAATCAGGATTAAAGGACTA